GGATTATTGGATACATACAGAAAAATGCGGCAGAGTTGGAATTAATCGATTAAAATTTTTAGTTTTACTGAGTAATTAATGTTTACGATTAATAAAATTAGTCGAAAAATCAGCGATTGATTCAATCGATAAATAAAATTAATCATTAATCGTTGATTTAAAAAAATTAATCATCCAAAAATTAGTGATAGATTTAATCGATTAATAGAATTAATCAACAATCGTTTATTAAAAGAAATTAATCGTTGAAAAATCCAAACTGATTTAATCATTTTAGTAGTGTCAATCGTCGATTAATAATTGTCAATCAGTATATTGAGTTTGATTATAATTTCATTCAAATTTGAATCGCTTTAGAATTAAGATATTATCCAAATAAAACATGTCAAGAAGTATAAAGCGATTCATTGTCTAGTTGCAATCCTAATTTACTTTTTTTGAGTTCCCTTAAAATTTGTTAAATAAATAAATAATAAATATTTATTTCATTGCATCAGGCATTAATATTATTTCACTGTTCATGGACATACAGAGGCTTATCATCTCTTTATAGGTTATTATTATAATCCCCTAACAAAAAGTTTCTGATCAAAGACGCTAATACGGAATTTATAAAAGACATTCATATCTTAGCAGTATAAAATATTATTTTATGTAATTAAAACATATGGGAAATTACAAGAAGCGTTAACACGAAATTACAAGAAGCGTTAACACGAAATTAAAGAAGCTTATTAGAAATTAAAAAGGCTTACTGGAGTAAAATACGATAAAATAAACTTAACATTAACTTCTATTTATTATAAAAACAAGAAAAGAAACAAAATGTCATATGAAAAAATGTAGAAACATTTGATCAGAAGATCAGTACAAATGCGGGAAAAAAGTTTCCAATTTAATTTACAAATATAAACTATTTTAGGTAATATTTTGCAATGTCCCTACGTTTACGTATTACATACTTCTTTAATACATTTTAGTATAGAATCGATGAGTTTTTTACATTCTGTAAGTGAAATTTCTTCCTCTAATTATTATATAGGCTATCGAAGTTTTTCGGTGTATGATATCATTTATTGTTGAAAAATATCTCAAATTGCATTATGAATTAGTATATATCGTTATAAATTATAAATTATTTATAAATCTGAATTTGAATTAAGTTTGACGGCTATAATATTTGTGATAAAACGACACATATAATATTATAAATTGAAGTTCGGATACTTGGAATAGAGATTCACACGCGAAATAAAGACCACTAATTAATTGCTTTACAATTTCATAGAACTTTATTAGAGCTACATAAGATTTTTTATTTGGTAACTTCTTGTAAAAATGTTAAAATGTTAAAGTGTTAAAATGTGTTTATATATCTTTTTCTGATTTGTACTTTGGACCTTGACTGAATCTTAAGAAGATACTGTGATGAATTTCTAATAATTTAAAGGGACATAGATTTCAGATTTCCTTAGATTTCAAAGTTATGGTGCACCATAAAAGGATTTTATCATTTTTTGCCTGTTTTACTCATCAAGAAAAAATTACTTGAAGAAATGATTTGCTTGCATTCCTATTGCGAAAACTGTTTTGTTTATAAAGATACTATTGATTATTAATAGTATCTTTATAAACAAAATAGTTATAAAGATACTATCACCAGATACTATTGTTATGTAGTGATATAATTTAAATGATGTTTATCATATTAAATAACAACAATTAATTCTTTTATACAATACAAATGACCACTCTTTTGACCATTCTCATTCAATGCTCTTTTACGACTCTCCCTGACTCTGTTCTTTTCACTCGCACAACTTTCTTCTTTTCAAAAAGAAAAGCGCTCCGTGCCAACGCTGCGCTTCTCACATCGCATTCATACTTTTTCGTTCACGCATCTCCAGTAAACAGGCCATCCATTAGAGGTAAAAGTAACTAAAAATATAACTACACATTATAATAATTTCGATACTACAGTTATAAGATACTATCTTTATAAACAAAATAGTTATAAAGATACTATTTATTT